TTATTCAGGATTTATGCAAAATATTTCAATGGAGTGACTAAAAGCCAAATAAACAGTTGATCCAGAGAATAGGTTACAGCAGTTTTACAGCATGAAACAGAAAGCCAAAGAAATTCATTCCAGGATGCAAAATGCAACCATCAAAATAGATCTACATCTAAAGAAATTAAAATCCATTCTTCCTTGTTTTAAGTATATGGACAGCAGATTCTAAGAAAAAAAGAAAACTAAAAATCTTTAGGGAAACTGGCAATCATTGTATCGTTGGACTATCTTTCCAGAATTTGATCGCATCAAAAAGTCAGGTTAATTCGTATGTTGAATTTTCTGTGTGGTTTCTTTCCAAAGGCCATCTACAAAATGGTGGGCACTGTGATAATGATGAAAATGAATGAGGATGGTCTGACGCCTGAGCAACGGGTAGACAAGATCTTCAGTAAGATGGATAAGAACAAAGACGACCAGATCACGCTGGATGAATTCAAAGAAGCTGCAAAGAGCGATCCTTCCATCGTATTACTCCTGCAGTGTGACATTCAAAAATGAGCTCGTGTACAATGCGTCATAGACTGCACAGAAGTTTAATGTTCCATTCAGTTTGCAGCTATTTCCACACACACAAAAATTTGCTTGGACTACCTATAAATGGACTTGCTTCTTGTGTTTGAAACACTTGTGTGCATGAGAATGTCATTTGCTAAAGAATTTTAAAAGTATATATTATAAAAATAAACTGCCACAACGTGATGTGTGCAATGTCATTTCATAACAACCCTATTCCTCTGAAGCCTGTGCAGCAGTCCTGTGCTGCAGTGAATTATATTATTTATTGTTCATGTTTTACTGATGCTAGCTCTGTGTCTCCTAGGCTGAGTAATGTTAGTGACACTGAATTCCCATGGTAATGTTAACTGTTTATTATAAATCATGTCACCATTCTGCTGTAAAGTAGTACTGGACAGACAGAGGGGAAGAGTTCCTCAGCTCTTAAGTCTGATCCACACATGTGCTTGTATTGTCAGTGGATATAAATGTACTTCATTTGCATGCCTTTTAGGTTTGCCTTAATTCTTACCTCATTTGCATCCCTTCAATCTGGAAAGAGCTATGTCAGAGGAATGCAGTATAAAAAAAAAAAAAAAAAAAGAAAATCCTGCTAAAATGATCCCTTTAATTAAAAGTATATATAAATATATATATATAATGTTTAAAATATTGTTTTATTGGAAGTTTAAAGGTTTTATTGGAAGTGTATTGATCTTTGCCTGAATTTTCAAAAGCTTCCACAGAGGTTGCAATATATATGTCCCAAAATAAATTTATAACATTTGACCTTTTCCCCTAATTCTTATTTCACGTCTCCAGCACAGTAATAGAAAAAAAAAAAAGTTCTATCTCTTTAATTATCTGTCACTGTACTACTGGGAAATATATATTTCCTCACGAAAGCACGGAAACTCCTTTGCACGCCCTTGCTCACTAGAAGAGTCATATTATACGAAACCAAGAGTTGTAGCTCTTGTATTTACCAACAGCGTAGCTGTTTGTCCTCCAGATGCTAACACTGAGAACTCACAGTACACCCCCTGGCCCTGTGCTTACGTAGCCTTTTAAGCTAGCTGGAAGTCAAGTACAGTTTCTTTGCTTGGCCTAAACCTCGTTTTCTAACATTTTTCCCTCCTTAAGTAAGAGTCTTTCCTCTTGCCATACGACACTAAACTACCCCGGGTTTATTTCAGACATGCTGTCAAAAATCATTACTGATAAATTAACCATGAAGTATGAAGATTGAGACGGGATAGTGAAAAGAACCCCCTTCTTCCTCAATTCCATGTGCATCAATCGAGTTTCTCCCTACACTGTGGCAAGTACAAGTTCTGGACAGCCCTGGGAAAGCATCAAGAACTAGCAGGCTGCAGAAATTGCAGATAAAAATCTTTCCTACACCACGTTTCCCAGTTGCTTTAAACAGTTGCTTGCAGGGTTACAACAACAAAAAAATGTCTGAACATCTTACAATTGCATGTGTGATATTTCTTCTTTACCTTATGAAGAAATGAGACGGTACTCTTAATAGCTAAAAATCAAACAATAAAACATGACACAAACCAAATCATTCTCTGTATTTTCAAATTTAAAAAGTGAAGCTCATCTTAAAATTAAGGGGGGGGAAAAAAAAAACCAACAGAAAACAGTTTTACACATTTTGCTCACAAACGTGGTGGGGGGAACACAGAGTCAGTTGTTGCCACAACCACAGCCATCCTCTCATATTTAAGTTTCTTCATATTTCAAACAAGCAGCAAAAGGCAGAAATTTCAACTACATTTTTTTCATACCAGAATTTTTACTTAGACCACCCAGGTAAGAGTCTTAGCAGAATAGAGTGATATTCTTTGTACATTTGGCTGTAACTTAAAAATAAAACACACCTTCTGAAAATGTTCCATACTGCTGAGAATGATACGCTTTTTGTTTCCACTTCAGCTTAAATTACTAGTTGTAGAGAGGATGTTGAATATTCCCGGGAATTTATTCCTCTTCGGCTTACGCGTACTTACGAGAGAAGCAGTACCTCATTCTACATTTCCCTGCACTTCGAATTTATGTAGCTGGACAGGCTCCATTTATTTTAATGCTGCATTAAGCAATGCAGTGCCATCCAAAATGGCCAACAGCTCACAGTCGCAGAATGTCCCATCAGCACTGCAATTCTCTCTCTAGGTAGCTGGTATAGTAAACTCTGTATTCAAAGTACCAAGAATAAGACAGGTTTGAGATCTTATTAGGATCACTGCAAAAACAAGCGCATCCAAGCAAGTGCTTTACTAATTGTTTATTCAGAACTAATCCTCTACCACGAAAACAGCTCCTTATAATAATTATAGAGTCAGGCACATATTTCCATCAAGTACAGCAGTAGAATAGCATAAATACAATATGTTGGTTTGAACCAAAGACCAGAATTGTTGCCAACTGCTCCAATGTTTCAAATAAGTCTATAGAAAACTTGGGGGAAAGCTGAAGTGTTACATCAGTAGGAAGGCGATAATTTTCCTTAAGCTCTTTTCTCCACACAGCTCATCATAGAAGTACTAATGAAGAGAAGTGCTTTTCTCTCTCCTGCCTCTGCACTCTTGCTTTATGTTTTGGATGCTAAAGAAAATCATGAGGAAACAATGCTATGCCCTTCTATCTTTACCTGTTGCAAAAGGGTCTGGAACATTTTCTAGTTTCATCATAAAATTGAGTCAAACTGAACACATGGTTCATGATCATGTATCAGTATCGAGGACTCCCTGTACGGACTCAGCTTGTGCTCCAGACAAGTCTTGCCAAGCGTGCACTTTGCATGGTTCCCCCCGACAGTATTTTCACATAATTCTAAACAAGTTGTAATATATATTCCATCAAATCACAGGATTATGGAATTGTTTAGTTGGGTAGGGCCCTGCAAAGGTCTCTTGTCCAACTTCCTGCTTGAAGGAAGCCTAGCCAGACCTCAAAAGCCTCCAAGGATGGAGATTCTACAGCCTGTCAGGAAAACATGTTCAAATGCTTCACATCTTCATGATGAACAACCCCTCCCCTTGGTTTATCCAGCCAGAACCCCCCCACTTCAATTTATGACCACTGCCAGGCACTTCACCAAAAAGCCCGTCCCAGTGGTGTCAGCAACCTCAAGGCTGCCATGAGTCTGTGGGCTGACTACCCCAGGCTTTCAGAAGCAAACATCTGAAGCCTTTAAAAGATCACTAGACTCAATTCCTGCAGTTAGAATGCACTAGAGCTGCAGTTCTCTTCCTCAGTGTATTTCCTTCAATTCTGCGCAAGCTTCCATATTTTAGGGATACCTACAAGTTTAATACATGCCTGTGTAAAAACTAAGCAACATTAAAGAATGCAAAATACTGTGCAGTGGCTAAAAACAAATTTGGCTAAAGTCAAGTTAAAACTTGTTGCAGTGAGGCTTTATTAACAAATTGCTATTCAAGCAAGTAACTGTAGAAACTGCAGAACTGTTGTCTGAATAATCTCAGTGGCTTTTGTATCCCTATAAGGTCAAAAAAAAAAAAAAAAAAGGAAAAAAAAAGAAATATTTCCATCTAGTGGCTGAACTCTAAAAAGTGATTGCTTTTGAACAGCTCCTAACAATTTCAAGTTCCTGGAAAAAGGAGAACAGAAGAGAAAAAAGTTAATTTGGGACAGTTTGAAAAATCTTGTTGTTCTTTCTCCCTCTTATCCCCAATAAAGGCTTGTATTATTTAAATAAAGCAAGTTTATTTTATTTTAACTGTTCTAGTATAGTCCTGGGGGAGGAGAGGTGGGGACACCCAACGAAAAGCAGGCCTACAACGCTGTAGAAAAAAACTTACGTATTATTTCCCAAAATTCTTATTCCACATCATTCCTCTACATTGGAAGGCCTTCTGTCACTTTAGTTTGTTATAATATATTGAGTACCTACAGACTTAGTCTATACCTGCAAACTCAGACTGTGCAAGAACTTAGTTTACTAGAATTAATAATTTAAATTTATAAAGCCACAATTTGCTAGGTTTTGAAAGCTCATGTCCAAAGAGACTCAAAACTCTTCCCTCCAAACTCTTTAGGAAGAAATAAAAGCACTTTTTTCCTGCCCAGAGAATATACTACTAATAAATATTTCACTTCTCTAATTATGAAAGTATACAGTGTAATTTCTCATGTTCAGCTGCTGTGGTTTCACTGGAAAAAAATGAAACATGTTTTACGGCATGCATTAATTAGCACGTTTTAACAAATAAAGCAGAACTCGGAAGAAAGCAACATTTTTTACTTAATGCTGATTTTAAGTGTGTAGAGACACTAAAACATTACCACAAGTATCAGTTCTCACTATTTATTAAAATATTACATCATAATTATACAAAATATATTTCATATTTTCCAGAAGAAAAAACAGAACAACTGATAAAAAATTCTGTTAGTTGGTAGTTAAAAATATCAACTGACCAGTCAGGATTTTCTCATCATCAAAACTGCACTTATTCTCAGTCTGTACACATACAGTAATTCTTTAAAAAAAAGGAATAAAATAATACAGGAACCTCTTCTTTTCCTCAGTTTATCTACCAAAAGATCCTCTTATCCAGCATCAGGAAGTCATAACTTTACACACACCATTACACATTTATCTTTATTAGCATGCCATACTCATACACACAGATACTTATTGATCTTCCTCTTTGTCATTCCTATTTCGGAAATTCAATGTTCTTTGGCCTCTTTCAGGGTCTTGCATTCGGAGGATCCGAATATGGGAACTCGTAGGCAGAGAACTAAAAATAAAGTATGCGTCATTTAAACAGTGTTTCTTCTCCACAAATTTTAGTATTTCCATTTGATTCTTTCCATTACATATTTTCCTTTAAGTAACTCCATCTTTTATCTTTGACAGTTTTAAAAAACAGTAACATGGGATGAAGTTCTAGCTTCACTGAACTGATACCGGAGCCAGACTTTAGTAACAGCTCGAGGTAAAGACAATGAGTGATTTCAGTCATGTGATTTCTAACAAGAAGACTACCTTAATTATAGAAAATGTACTTTCAAGTGAAACTCCAAATAACTGAATACAGTTCATACCTGTCTTACAGATGCTGAAATAGCCCACACTTTATACATGTATAATCGCTCACATCATACAAAGACATACATTTCTACAGGCTTCTCCAACAATCATCCTAAATGTACTTTTTCTGAAGGTGCCTCCGCACTTTTGTTAAATTAATTAATTGTACGTTTAATTTTGTTAAATTAAATGTTTGCTGAACATGCAACATGTAACAAAGTATAACAAAACCAAACCGCACTTGAATTATTAAACTTTTAAACAGTAACCATACAGAAAATTCCTACATATTTACTGAATACAGTTTCAGAAATTCCCCCCAAAGCATTGCCACTTAAATAACAACAGAAAACCCTTATTGTACTTCTCATAGATTTTAGTAAGGGAACACAATTAAGAGTAAATCAACTCCATTTTGAAGACTGCTTAATTACCCTACACAGGCTTCACTGATGACATTTGGCTAATAAAGAGTTGGCTACATAAGGTTAGACAGTGATTGTCCCCTTGAGCTGGGCATGGCTTTACCAGTGCTTACATGGAGGTTTTTACAGAGTTCTGGGCTACTAGATCAAAAAAAGAAAAACAGGAGTAAGATACCATTTTCTAGATCAGTGATATGAAAGGAAAAAAAAAAATCAACTCAAATGACAAACTTCTTGCAAGTACTGTAGTATTAATAGGAAAAATGGAAAACTGCAAAGTTTTCTCTTAATTTTGTGAGGGGAGAGGGAGATACCAGGCTAAAAGCCACCAGGAGCCAACTTTACACAATAAAACATTTCAAAAACCTGTTCTACTTAAGATAAACTGATACAAGTCCCATTGAACTACTATGTTCAGTTTTGGGCCCCTCACTACAAGAAGGACATTGAGGTGCTGGAACATGTCCAGAAAAGGGCAACAAAGCTGGCGAGGGGGCTGGAGCACAAGACAGATGAGGAGCGGCTGAGGGAGCTGGGGTTGTTTAGTCTGGAGAAAAGGAGGCTGAGGGGAGACCTTATCACTCTCTACACAAAGGAGGGTGTAGCGAGGTGGTTGTCAGTCTCTTCTGCCAAGTAACAAGCGATAGGACAAGAGGAAATGGCCTCCAGTTGAACCAGTGCAGGTTTAGATTGGACATTAGGAAAAACTTCTTCACCTAAAGGGTTGGTCAAGCACTGGAATGGGCTGCCCAGGGAAGTGTTTGAGTACCCATCCCCGGAGGTATTTAAAAGACATGTAGACGTGGTGCTTAGGGCCATGGTTTAGTGCTGGACTTGGCAGTGCTAGGTTAATGGTTGGACTTGATGATCTTAAAGGTCTTTTCCAACCTAAACAGTTCTATGATTCTATTAAGAGACATTACATGAGTGAAAAAACAATTCCCAGAACCATCAGCAATGAACTTGAATTGATGTTGTACTGCTACAAACAGCAACATTTCTTTCTCCTCTTTCCTTTCTTAAGTTATACTCCTTGCAATAAAACTTCCTTGTAATTCTTGTACCTGGAAATATAACGACATTATTACCTCATGCTTTGCGGGGTGAGCAAAATGAACTGTCGATGACGCTGAGAGTCGGCCACCTTAAGAATCATATCCATTGCAATTCTTCTGTTAACCATGTCCTAAAGACAAAAGTTCTATCAGGTAGTGATACTGACCATGTACTTCACTGGCCTATTTTTGCACAAAATAGGACAAATGCTTAAGAATAAATGAATTAGAAAATACCTTAATAGAAAAACCTACTGGACTTAATTCATATACAGTAAAGCTTAGTTAAAGAAAAGTCTAATAAAAACTAATCTGGGGAAACATTAGGGCTAAATTCTACAGGCTACAAACCATAGTCCAGGAAATTCTTAAACTCCTCTTTTTAGTATACATGCACAACAGAAAGCTTCTATCCGAACAATCACACGCTCCTACTTACGTTGCTTTTCTATCAGCTTTGATATACTTAGTACTTCTTCCTTCACTGGTGTGCTGAGATGAACTGTATTTTAGTAGAATAATATTTTCTATAAAAGCCTGCCTACTTGAAAGAACTGAAGGGCTGTATGAAACCTAAGATATTATGAGGCTTGTTTTTATGATGATTACTATTTTGAACAGAACTTTATGCATTAGGCTTACTGAAAAAGATGGGTAATGGGAAGCTGTTATTAGCAGGGGTTAAAACAAAGGTCTGCTTCTATACATTGTTACACATGAAAGTAGGTATCTCCCTTGTAAATATGCTGATGGAGTCCTCTTGTGGTGAGTCTCCAGGATTACACCAAAAGTAACTACAGAACGCGGAGAAAGTAAGGTTGCACTCACTGGCACAACAGTGGAAAGACAAATTGTGTGGAATTATTTATGGAATAGAAGACATGAAAGTTCTCTGCAGGGCCTATGGTTCTGAGTATCCACCCTGTCCTGGACAGATGGATAAAATTCTATGCAACTAAACTGTAAAAGAAGACCTAAGCTTTCGAAGTTGGCTGACAAATGACTGCTTGACCACTTCAGATGCACACTTTCCTTTTTGAAATTCTTTATATATGAAGTATGTTATCTGTTTTTCCCCCTCTAGGTCTGTGATTCCGAGTAAATAAATCATTGATGGGGGAGTGACACTGAAGGCAAAATGAAATAATCCAGTATCAACTCTTTGTCTCTCTTTTCTCAAACCATACCACACTGCATATTAATAAGGAGAAAATAAAATAAAAACAATTATTAAAAAAACTGGTTAATCACATATCCAGGGAAGCTGTACACAAGGATGAGGTTTATCAGTTTTAGCTGACATTAGTATTTACTGTTCATTATCCTGCATTTCAGCGCCTTGTAGCAATAGTGAACTCGATTGCTACACTGCTTTGAAAAAAACCCACATCGATCTCAAAATTGATGGAAGCCAAAGCACATGCTTTGTCACAGCAATACAATATGCAAAGGCAACCTGTGACAAATGGGGGGGAAACAATAAAAAATTATATTTTATGATTTTTTGCGCTGAACCAAGGTTTAAGCAAGTAAAGTAACACAGATGCTTGTAGCTTTGCATGCCAACTTCAAAAACAGAATAAGCTTCAAAAGTCACTAAGCGAAGTGAAGAAGATCCCTAACAGGTTTTGGTTTGGGGTTTTGGGGAATTTGGGTTTTGGGGATCTTTATTTATTATTTACAGTTAACAATAGAGCTTTAAAATCTAACCAAATACAGGTAACACCCCAACTATTTCACTAATTTATACAAATTAGAATGGCAAACATAGTTTAAGTTTAAACTATACCATGTAGACATCAAATTCATCCAAGCATCTGAAAGGAGATTCGGTAATGGACCACAGAGAAAGAATGAAACAAACTGTTGAGAAGGAACGTTCACCTCCTGACAAAGATCTCACATCATTAAGGGCAGCTCTGTCTTCCTCTCGAGGCTGAACCTTGAAATAGAAACATTAAAACAATTTTTAAACCTGAAATGGACACTTACTAACAGAAACATCATTTTAATGGCAAACACATTACACATGAACAGAGAGAGATCACCTGAGAACAATTTTATGCACTCCACTGCCACTGCCATTCCGGAATGGGATGGCTCCTAACCATTTCATAACACATTTCTAGGATCACTGCAACCTTCTCCACCACAGTAAAATACATGGAACAGACTGATTGACTCTGCTAGTGTTTTCTTATTCAACTCTCTATTTTTAATAGCTATTAAGCAATGTTTAATAAATGTCAACCAGTGTAGTTACATTACAGTAAAATCCAGTGGTTACCAGCTACAATAAAAAAGCGGGTAATTGATTTACAGCAGGAGTTTAAAGGAGGAACAGTATCTTTACCAGAATACATGAAACATTGTGAGCAGTCCTTTGGTTCCATTGATTATGACGAGACCTTGTCACATTCCCCCCTTTAAGATTTAAAACTTAAGCATTTTCTTGTCCTGTTAATTATATTAGCTTTAACAAGCTAATCAGGGAAAGAAGAATTATTTTGGAGTGGGGTCTTTTCATAGTTTTTCGGGAGGGTTGTTTTCTTTTTTAAATTTACCTTCCTTGACTAAATATAGCTCTCTTGCAAGAGAAACATGAAACATCAGCTGCATTAAAAAAAATGTATTCTGATAAAGCCAGGTAATGACTTGACATTTTATGGATTGAGTTTGAGTTCTTCAGATACATATCCTTCACCTGTTTAATTAGGACTGTATCAACACATATTTATGTTGTCACTACACATTTTTCCCCTCAGTTCCTAAAACGGAAGTCTCCCACAGAAACAAAAGTAATGACTAAAACTTTTTGGGAGGTATGTTAGAAGATACACAGGAAAAATATAATATTGAAGCTTTCAGCCATTAAGTGTTGTTCAAATAACAACAGAGCAATTAAATACTCACACAAATAAAGGCAAACTTCCTATCTATGAAATAGGAATGAGTAATTTTGAAAGACTGACTACGATGACTAGCTAGTGAATTCTTATCTTCAGCATAAGATGACAGTCCAAATTTATTCCATATAATCTAGCAACCTGCCCATATACGGTGGCAATACAGGTTTTGTTCTTGCTTGTTTTCAGCAACACGCTACAATTTAGCATATCACATTCTGGAGAGGGGAGAACAATTCATTCTATCCTTTGCAATGCATGTTCTAGCAGCTGATATTAAGAAAAAAAAATTCATTAAATGTAATGATAATTAAAGTAATGTAAAATAACTTACTGTTATTGAAAGTGTCTCATTCTTGTGATCAAAAAGTATTTTTCCAGAGCAAGCTCGAATACGTAATAAATAGTCAAAGTAGAGTTTGCATCGTAAAGAAAGGAGCCTTGTATCAGTGAAATCAAGCAAACATTAGGTCAGTCAGTTTTAAAATACATGAAAAAGTGACAACAGATTTTTATCAACAGTTCCACATCATAATCTTAACTATTAAGCCCTGCTTCATTAATAACATTTTCCCAAACCAGTTGCGTTCTTGAGTGGTTGACGTTCAGTACTGGACATACTGGAGAGAATCACTGACACAAAGTAACAAGGTAAGAAATCCAGAAGTAACAAGTAAGAAATCCAGAAGTAACAAGGTAAGAAATCCAGAAGTAACAAGGTAAGAAATCCAGAAGCACAGGCTTTGTATTTTCTAGAAGTTTGTTTTAATAGACTGGAAGCTTTTTATGCCCTTCTTCCACAACTTCAACAGAAAACTACCACATTCCACTGCTTTCCTATCCAGTTTAGGACTGCGCAGTGAGCATAGTAAAGAATTTATGCGGACTTTGCTAGACTCCAGGAATTAAACAGTACTGAATATTAATTTCTTCCCCCACTCCCTTCCTCCCCAGTTCTAGCATTGAATTCCCCAACAGACAATGCATGATGGTCCCTTCAAGAAAGAACAAGAGTTCTTTAGAACACCCTACAGTGGGATTCATACTCAAATTTGGGCGCTAGGAACAAGATTCAGTTTGACATATACAGGCACCATAAGGCAAGCATCAGATTCTGCAGGTAAATCTTACCCACTAGTAATTCTAGACTTCCACCTGCAAAGGTTGGGATCTTCCTGACCACTACTATTTGTCAGGATCATACTGGCAACCCCCTCCAAATCCCAGATCAAAAAGTACAAAAAACAGAGCCAACACAGATATCCCTCAACTTCTGCTGAAGGGAAAGATAAACAGTAAAGGACTGCACTGGCAAACAGACTATTAGTTCTTTTGAAGAGAGGCCATCACAAAACAGGTATAGGATACTAAGAGACTGCAGCAAGAAAAAGGGGTGCACTCCCAGTACGGACACTCCATGACAGAAGTAGCCATCAAACTGCAGAATCTGAATAAAGATCTTGAATTTTTTTCAGCACAGGGCAGAGAAAAAGTGTTTGGTCCACAATGAAATTACATGAGCACAGCAGCACTAATTATCTGGACTGTCATTTTCATCAAGTATGATTTCAATGCTAGTATGTTGCTGATATTTTAACTGACCAAAACCAGCACTGAAACAGAACTGCCTTGGATTAAATCAGCATAGTCGAAGCCTTTGGTGTGAAGCAAAACAGAGCCTCCACTGATCACGCTTGTTTTTCCAACTGTCAGTCCAGGCTGCCTCTAAACTGTGAAGCATGACGGTACTGGATCTGGGAGCAAGATTAAGTTGGAAAAATTGCTGTGAATACCACTGTAAAGATACCTCATCCTCATAGGTCTGCTCTGTAATTTTCACCCTGGAATATGGACACATACTTACATCTACATAGTAGAATCATAGAATGTTTTGGGTTGGAAGGGACCCCTAGAGGTCATCTAGCCCAACCCCCCTGCAGTGAGCAGGGACACCGCTAACCAGATCAGGTTGCTCAGAGCCCCGTCCAACCTGGCCTTGAAAGTTTCCAGGGATGGGGCCTCCACTACCTCTCTGGGCAACCCGTTCCAATGTTTAAAATATGAGTTTATCTGAAACCTGAAATTACAGTAAAATTAACTCACCTTAAGAATTGCCGATATATTTTGAATCTCTGTGTCATTATTTCTTCCAGCAGTCTAATAAATTTCTTTAAATTCTTTACTTTACTGTTTGCATCCTCATATCTTTCCTTTGCATCATGAAATTCCCTGTTTTAATTAACAGAAAGTCTAGGATCAACATGCATTACATTAAAACCGAGCTATTGTTGTAAACACTGAACATCAATTTAATAATCAAAATATTCAAATTAAAACTTTCTTGTGAGGATCTATGCTAAAGACAAAAGCATTTGTTAAGTCCAGTAAGAGACAGTTCACAAATTGAAAGTGGTCAAAAATTAAATTTTACTGCTATTTTTAATTCTTTTGAAAGGAGACTCTTACACCAAGGAGAACAAATGACTAGGTTCCCCATGCTCAAGAACATCCAAGATGAGTGATTCCTTGAAATACACTGCAGTCAAAACCTCAAGTAATCTCCTAACTTCTGCATTCCAGTTATTCAAACTGGAAGTATGCTTAAGGCTCACTGCATCCCAGAACAATGGCGGGTTACGTTCATACCATGTAGTCGTAATTGGGATACCCCGAAACACTAAGAGGGTATCTGATTATTGGCAACTTCATATATACAGTACAGACACTGTCTTAAATCACTAGAGGGCAGTTCAACACTCCTAAGCCTGTTCGGTATTGCTTGACCGAGCGATCAGCACGGCGTGTTTCCACACCTTCATACATGGCTTAAGTACTAAAAACACATATAAATGCATTGTGAGTCAATAAGAAGAGTCTTCTTTGCCCCATCTTTTCCATCTTACCTGAACTACTTCAGACATGAAAGATTACTTACTGTACTATTTCTTCTCTGTTTCCATGGCGATCATTTTCTGAATTTATCCTCTCTCTCAAGCGATTCATTTCTGCATCAAGGCTCTTAACAGTTCTGCTGACCTCTATGCGCTCTGAGTAGATTTGCCTAGCTTGTGCAATTTTTTCCTAAAGTAATGTTTGAAACTCAATGAATTGTTACATTTTTTAAAGAAATCTGTTTAGTCTTCACAACAAATATTTTATGCCATGGATAAACAAGGTTTCCAAGCAAGAACAATGGTTTGTATCATTCTTTGTGTACTTACCACAGGAAACCTAGTTATCACTAACAATTTTACTAACAACATTTATAGGTAGGTAGTTATTTCAGTGCGAAGAACTGTATCCATCTGATATCTTTAATATGTTCACAGTTATTTAGCTAATACAGATAAGTAAGGAAACAAATTCACCATATTTAAATAGGACAGTCTTCCAAAAGTCTTTGTGGAAGTGATTTCAGAGTTAGTTAAGAAAGCTTGATTAGGTAAGTCTTCAGAAGATCAGGTATGAAGTCTGTACAACAAAAAACCTAGCATCCAAAAAACCCAAACAGTATTATTCAACTGAATGTAAACCACAAATTTTAACCTTAAGTCATTTGAATTTTTCATTGCAAAATACAGAAGAAAGAGTCCTAGATGGATAAAACCTAACTCATCTGTCAAGACAGAAATAGTGTTCACTCAGACAAAAAGAGTCCAAGATTCATTCATATAAAATTGCTTTTATGTGATTTAGATGCAGTCAGCTTAAACATAGCTGAGAGAATACTCAGTGTAGCTGAGCATTAATACAGTCTGTATGTTGTACAAGTGGAATGTTTTATTATTAAATATTAGAAAGGTCATGACCATGACTTGAATAAAGAAAAACCCCACACACACCTCTAATTCTTTTTCTTTGGCAGTTAGTAATTCTTTATGTCTTTTTATGCAAGCCAAGTGTTCTTTCTGTTTCTCTTCATAGTGCTGCAAACGGCGTTTACTGTTTTCCACTTCTGAGTCAGCTTGGTTTAATTCATCCTGTTCAGAATAAATCAAGATGTGATAAGTGAGCTGGTTGGGATAGATTCCTGAGTATCTCTCTAATGCTTACTGATTTATCACAGGTAATTATGTTGGGTTTAACACTGTCTGATTTGTTTTGCTTTCAGTAAGACTACTCTTTCTGAAGTCTAGGAGCTTTAACAGCAACTTACCAGAAAGTCTATACTCAATTCTGACAAAGACATAATAAATACTTGTAATGTTTTTAGGAATCATATCTTGAGGGGATGTTTTAATCTTTGAAAAAAAAACATCCTTTCTCCTAAACCTTCAAAGACTACATTTATTTTATACACTACATTTTAGCCAAACTTCTGATGTCTGTGTGACATCAGCCAGAACTGCAGTTCTGTAAGTCGGTGTTCTGCTATACCTACAATATGATGTGGACTATAGCAACTTCTACACTATGTAAGTGTTGATACAGCTGAAATAATATAATATCTTTCCAGAGAAGCAGAGAGGTATAAAGAATGACATAAATTAGAAGACAGTTTTCTTCCTCATCCCTGTCAGCTAGATGGCTTATCTTATAAAAAAACCCCCAAAAAACCCCAAACAAAACCAACAAAATACACCCCAAAAAACCAACCCCAAAATAACAAACAAGAAAACCAACCATGACCAACAATAATGGATGTTCTTACCTTTTTCTAACCCTGCCTTAAAGCCACAAATTGCTATACATCAACAGTTCATTAAACTACTATAGAACACATCAGTACATATCATCTAAAATCCTTTCAGGAATTTAAGAGTTGCCCTCTACTGTGTTTAGTACTCCTAATAATGAGCAATAATGTTCTAATATTCTGTATACATCTATTCTCTTTCCTTTCACAGCTCTTCTTTTTAAACAGAACATAACTTTAGAATTTCCATACTAGATAAATCGTAACTAATATATTTATCAGTGGTTTTCTCTACCTGTTTCCTTCCTCTTTTTGTTTGCTCTTGCTTTTTTAATTTGGGCTGACTACATAGCAATATACAATTTAAGTGTGGCATATGAAAGATTTCTATAGTAATCTTTCTAAGTTTTTCCGCATTCCATCCTTCTGTAAGTTTACAATACTGTAAACATGCTGGACCCTGTTATTTCTGTTTTTCATTTTCAAACCATTAATTCTTCTTCGCAACATGAGATTGCCTTCTATTTGCCAATATCAAATTTTGCATGTCACCACTCTGCTATCTATCTTAAGTCTTGCTACTTCTCTGCAATCTCCAGCTGTCTTCGTAGTCCTGAATAATTAAAACTATGTATTGGTATCTTCAGTGATTATGCAACTTATAGAAAAACAACCACTTCATGTAGAACTTCAAATGCTATTTTGAAAACTGAACAGTTATGAACACTCCTAGCCAGGCCTTATCAGAAACGAACAAATAAGCCAAAACAACAAATGTGACACACTAAAAAGGAAAGTAAAGGAAACTATTTTCCCTTCCTTTTCAGTCCCCATCTAAAAATAACTTGGAAACAAAGATAAAACACTATAGCGACTACGCTTAAAATTCAACATCATCTTCAAAATATTCCCAAGCTTATTTCTTGACATGCTTTAGATGGAATTCTCTATTTCCATTTTCATAGGTAGACCTTAAATGTATCAGGCAGGAGCACACTCTTTTCTCCTGCCTCCTTTTAACCTCATTCCCCTTGCCACACAAAGGGAGTGAATTAAAAATACAATATGAAATTATTGCTACCTTAATCGGACCGGCAATTTCTTCTACTTGATGAATTTTTTCTTTCATTTCTTCAAAGTTTTTTTCCGCTACTTGGAGAGTGTTTTTCAGTTCTTCCATTTTTTTGCTTTGCTGCTGCATTTCTTTTTTTACAGATTCCATCTTACCCTTATTTTCTTGAGCTTCATCTTCCTGTCAAAATATATTAAAATTAAGAATAATAAAAGGAGACATACATTTGCAAATTACTGTACAGGATTTTTATTTTATTATCACCATCAGGGTACAAGATTACATGCAATACTCTATAACTCTAATAAGAATACAAGCGGCTCAGTGTAGTTGTCACTAAAGCCCAAAAGAGACTGACAGATCTTGTAGGAGACCACTAAATTAAACTGCAAAATAAAAAGCGGCATTTCCTCATTATCTGACTGAAAATTAAGGAGACTTTATTTGGGAGTTGTGATGAAAAGACTAAAGGGGGTAGGATTTTGTGAAGACACAGCCATGCCAATATTTTACTACAGTAATTTTTTAAATGAAAGAATAAGGTAACTTCCTTCTGGATCTGTGACCGAGTATATACAACCAGTATACAGAGGAATACAAGAAGAGTGAATGGATCATCACTGTTCCCTAGAAAACGATACCATTCCTAATGAATTATCAGCATACTAACCTGGGAAAAATATGTAAATGAAACCTTGTATTGCTAAGATTCTTTTTCACAATCAAACAATTGTGAAATTAAGGTGGCAATGAAAGACCAATACCAAGTGAAAGAACAGTAATTAATCCATAGTAGTGGTCAGAAAGTGCAGAAGACAGAATACCCACAAAAATCCAGCAACGGAATAAGGAGAAGCAAATATATAAATCTACCAGTTGCATAAGACCATTATCAGAAGGCAATGGTAAAAATGTTGATGTTGAAGAAGCAAGTGTCCAATAATTTTTAAACAGGAAAATATACTTCCACAAAAAGGTAATAGACTATTTTTCCATCACCAAAGGACAAAGAATGTACTTTTTTTTAAAACAAATAGAACTTGATTATCTGGAAAAAAGAAACCCTACAAGAGCTTACAGAATCTGTACTGAGCCCTTATTTTTTGAGTAAATTTCAAAATGTTTACTTAAAAGCATGCACGTGCATACACACTGAAAGACAGACTAGTGAAAAAGTGTGAGTTTGTGCCAATATCAGAAGTGACAAAAAAAAAAAATCCTGGCAATTTAGCCCCTCGCTGATCCCAGATAAAAGAGTAGTAAAACTCCCATGGATTTTAACTGAAACAATCAGTCAGGATTATTATTAACATCAATCTGCATGATTCTCAGAATTTAAATCTTGGCCATCTATACATTAGCTTATTACAGAGCAACAGTTCAAATTCATTGCCACCATCATACAAATCACAATAGATTAACAAACTTCGGGTTTTTCCTGTTCTCAAACAACTATGCACACATTTTAGCACATGGATAAGGAGAAGAACTTTGAAGAAACCATCACGCTACCATGATCCTTCCCTAGGGCAACACATGAACTTTAAAACTTCTGCATGGGGAAGCTACAGCGAAGCAAGAAACTGAGTTCAGGGCAGAAGGGCAGTGGTGTGATAGAAATTATGCTCCAGAGTGGCTTTTACCTATGCTTTGACCTCCAAACCTACAGCACCATTTCTCCCTAACCAGTGTTTTACACCACTGCAGGTCTGGAATGAGGAAAGATAATGCATGGAATATTCCTTTACAATACCACCTTGCCTTCCATAAACCTGCAGTGCTACTGCTTTGAAAAAGGGCAGAAGTAAAAGAAAAGAAAAGAAAAAAAAAAAAACAACAAAAACAAACAAACAAACCCCCCCCCCCAAAAAAAAACAAACCTGAAAAACCCCAAACTCTCACCAAAAATAAATAAAATCATGACGCTGCCATAATTGTAGGCATTCTGTTAAGTGTTGCATCCTTTACTATTTACCCAGCTTGTACACCAGTTGAAAATCCACAGTATTTGCTTATTTCAAAACACTGATATTAAAAGACATTGTTTCATATCCTTTTTAGACATAATTTGATAATCTATTCTTACTAATGTACAGATGTCCACTGACTGATGTTCTTCCATATTTTCAAGATCTGCTATTTCTGCATTTGTTGTTCTTATTTTTATCTGAAAAGAAAAAGAAAATAAATATTCTTAAACTTACCTAAAGAGAAAAGTTCACAGTTGTTCATTTAAGTCAACACCAGAAGCAAGATATTTGGTTCTTTAGTTTCATTAGCACCTACCAAAGACAGAACTCTTCCAACTTACCTATGGAATCCAGTTTTATAACTTGTTCTGAAAGTCACATGCACTTTAAATCATTAAGTTATTATTGCATTTCCACTCAACATGACAACTGAATAAAAAATATTTTATTTTTCCTTCAAATATTTATCTTCAGCAATTTGAGTCCATGTGCCAGGTTTTTTGCTGGTTTTCATTTGTAATTTACTGAATAAAACCTTATAGAGTATGTATTATCTTACACTGCCTAACTGTAACATCATTGGCCACCACTAATATCTATCCTACCTAAAAGTACTGGAAAACAAAGAGTAAGACTAATAGTTGTAAAATGGTTTATAAAGAAATTAAATTTAAGAAAAAACTTAAAGGTGAATATTCAGCACATTAAAAAGGTTTAAGAACATAAATGAAGAGCATGAAGAGAAACAATTCTGGGAACAAAGAAGCAAGGCTCAACAGAAATAAAGGAGGAGGAAGCAGGGAAGAGAAACTTGCATTAAATATTGCAACAACTTCCTACTTGTGTCAAAAAAAAAAAAAACCTCAGCAATAGAAATTTGTTAGATTCAGCACAAGGGAAAAAAGAAAAAAAAAAAAGATACCATACACAAACAACAGCGTATGCTAGGATTGACATGTCCTCTATCTCTCTGTCCTAAATGATGAAAGCATACTACAAAAGTAAACAACATGAAAGCAAACCACAAAAGTAACATTAAAAACTACCATCCACTAAAAATACATTGCAGAATCTTTTTGGTGTCGTCGATGACCATGAAGATGATCTTCATTCTGCCTAATCTCATTTTCAATGGAACATAAATGTTGCTGAGATGCTGTCAACTGTGCCTTTTTGTTTTCAATTTCTTTCTCCAAGTGACTTTATAAACAAAGTGATATTGAGATTTTATATATTACACAGGTATTACTTATTACACACACACAAATACACAAATAAAAATTAAATGCATGACAAGACAAAGAGTAAAAATGCAATCCCCCCCCAAAAAATTAAGTTTGTTATGGATTGGATGGTTTTAATGATCAATAAACAAACACCAAAGCCCTAAAGCAGAACTCCTAGTTAATAACCAGTAGCTGCTTGACAGGCCTAGTTCAATGCCTAGTGGATAAACCATTTATATAATTTGAACCACCTGTAACCTCTGTTAGCAATTTTTGCAAACAGGCCAAATGTTTGAATTAAACAGCACTGTCACTTCTAAAAATACCACTGCATCTTGAGAGAAAACAAATACTTTGACTAGGACAAAACACTTCCAGTCAGAGAGAAAATATCTTAAAAGAGATGTGAAAAAAACATTTTATAGTCTCATACTTTTCCTCCTACAAAGGAGGACATGTCCAGAGATTTCCAGAATTAATTCTTTCAGTTTGTGGTAAAACTACTTGAAATGCAAAACAAAGCTATTTTTTGTTACTATTTATAGATGGCAAAACTTTGATAGTGTCTTTCACCCCTGCAAAAGAAAGGGGAAGCTTTACTAATAATACAGTAAAAAAAAAAAAAAAAAAAAAGAGCAAGCAAGTGTTTAATCCAACTTTTGTTATAGATGCATGAAATGGACTAATTAAGTCTGATCCCAGAATAATTGCTTAATAAATTACATATACTATTCCAGATAAATGTTCCATTGCTTTAGGCTAAGTTCTGAAGGCAGGGGGGAGGTGGAAAGACATTTGTCCTTTTTAACCGGCCTACATCATTCCCCCCATAGCAATCGTGGTAATGAAATGCCTACAAGACTTTGAAAGCTAAGATAATCTTTGAGTGACGTTCATTATATACTGACATGAGCAAAGTACAGTTAACTGACATATTTAAAACTTTTGAGTTTACAGAAATAATTTTTTAACATTCAATTCAGTCTACCCTATCAGCTATTACTATTAAAAGTAAAATATTTACTTAATATGTCTGTAATACAATCTGAGCCTCAGAATAAAAGTATTGTCACCAGTTTGCTTGGTGACAGTTTAAGTTTGTAAACTTTGAAATATGTTTGGCTTTTTAAACTACCGTTTTAAAAATAATGAGAAAAAACCCTAAAAAATAAGATGGGGATGGGAGTCAAGTTTATCAGAGATACTTACCATCAGTGAAGTCAAAAGCCCGAGAAAACACAGTTGCAAAGTTTTAAACCAGTAGGACTACGTGTGCCAACGTAACTTTGGTTTGGTAACTCAGTCTTCCTTTACAGTAAACTATGATACTCACTGTTCAGGTATTAGATTTTTAAAGAAACAGCTTTCACTCTATACTCTTTTTCAGCAAGTGTAAAATAAAAAGGAAGGTAGACTTCCTGGAGTATACAGCCCAGCAGATCTCTACTTGCTAGGCAAGATTTACATACCACAAGCTGAAAAATATCTATGTAAAACTCGGGTTTGTACCTATCACAGAAAGACATTGAAATAAAGAGGTTTTCCAAGTTTCTCACAAAGGAAGTGTAAATTTGAGAAAGAAAATGGAGTGACAGGAGAGTAGTGTACATGTAAGTAGACAAATACACAATTCCAGTATTCATGTCAACATGTACAGTTTTTACAAATACAACATTACAAGATGCTAACCTTATTTCTGCTTCAACATCTTGGCTTAGGAACTTGGGTCTGAGGTAATCAGAAGAGTAATACCGTCTTTCAAACACTTGATCACCTTCAGCAGTGAAAGCTTCTCTACAATTTTTTGGGGGCCGATTAAGCTGCATTACTTCACGAGCTTTACGGCTACTCTGAAAAATATAATGGCCTTATCACACCAAAAGAAAAAGGAACCATAATTAAAGATATCAATTTAAAATTTGCCTAGAAGTTCTCACCCAGAAATAACTTCAATTCCTAATGAAAAAATAAGAAATACAGTAATGAAAGAATATGAAAAAAATCTATAATGTCAAGAATCTGCTTTTCTTAGTTGAGTAAGACATTGATGTTCTCAAAACCCACCCACTTAGTTTAGCTGCCCATTTCTTTTATTCTATTACAAATTTATCTGCATTCTAAGTTCTGTAGTCTCATCAGTCTCTTATAATTTGCTATGGGGAAAAAGTATCACTAACCAAAAGGTCATTATGCATAGATATATTTAACTATCAAAAGTGGAATACGCATACAGGAAAAAAAATCTTCCAAAGAAAGCTGTGAAGTATGTCTAACAACATTCAATTAAAGTTTAGGGAAACATGCTGGTAGAAAAAAAAAACAACCCCAAAACAACGTCAGTGCCAGACTAAGTGGCCACAAGGCCACAAGTACAAGGGCGGTCACGTTATCCATTCAGAAATATCATTTCTTCCAGACAATACCAGCTCAACTTCTCTCAGATTCAGTTGAAATTTTTCAGGTAGGGCTCAATGACCATAACGTTATGGAGATCAGCAGTTAGGCAAGGCAGAGAGGGAAAAAAAAAACTAGCATCCCTGCCATGAGAAAAGCCTAGAAAGTTCAGCTGTTATGTATCCCATTCAGGAACAGCCACACTTGCTAAACAGTGAGTCAGATCTGCGCTAGACAGAGCGTAAACTGTCTCTTTTCCAGTAGGAATATCACAGGACGAACTGGGACAAGTGGTTTTGGAGAAAAACAAAATCCATAAAAAGTAAGCATCGTTAGTTCTGCGTTTATAGAATAACCTGCTTTCTTTAAATAAAAACATATACATCTTATTTTTATCTTTGAACATTTTACCTGTAATCTTATCTGCAGGAGCTGGTATTTTCAGTAGTAACGGAAAAATCAAAAATCAATTATGGTCATATGGCAGAAAACAGACCTTTAACATGTTTTTACAGTGATCAAAAAATAGATTCCTATCAAAATAGTATGCAGTCTTAATTCAACACCATTTGCTAGTCACCTCATTCAAATCCTACTTCATAACTGATTATTGATTTTTTTTTTAATTTTACCAGACTGTATCCACAACCATTTTTCTTTGCACTCTCTCATCTCAAATGCTTTAGCACTGTGAAGTCCAAAGGGGCTCCAGTTGTTGTGGCAGGTGAAAAATAAATTAGGCTGTGAATGCTAACAGGAGGCTGATAATTTCATGCAAGAGTGGGTAGTTGACCATCCGAAAGGGAACTTTTGAACTCTAAAGCAGAAGCCTGCCACAGCTACAATTGGTACCCAGCTACCAGTTGCTACATACAATTGGCAGGGACTGGTTGCAAATTTTGGTAACACCTGGACTACACAAAACAGACACATCCTGAACCCACCAATTAATAGAGAGACATGAGACAGAGACAGCCGTTAGGAGGCTGATCACACACACGTGGCCTATTTAGACTGGGAAGCTAGACCAGCTAAGAGGCCCAGAAAGGTGGCGATGAACATCCCAGAAACAAACAGGTAAGAACCTGGAAACACATGGGGAGAGATCTGTAGAGAGAAATCCCAGTAGCAGCCCAAATAGGTATCTGTGAGCAGCTGCACAGCAGGAACCAGTAAGATTTTCTGCCTGACCTTCCCAAACCAGCAGCGATCTCCCCGCTGCAGACAGAAATTGAGACCCATAAAGGTAGTGTTATGGGGGGCAGGGGAACAAGTGTGTGGAAAACAGAGTAACAGCTCTAACCTGGCTGATTCTTAAATAAAGCCTAGTACCTAAACCCACTATGGGTTGTCAGTTTACTCTGTGTCACCCATGACAGAAAATAGTATTTGAAGTGGGATACTGAACGTGTGTGTGTGTGCACTGCACTATAACTGACACAGTCAGGGTCTACTGAGCCATCAGGGTCCTCACCTCTCCTCAGAGGGGCAAAAAGAAAAATAAAACTATCTTTCTCTACCTCTTTTGTCCATTATGGATACTATCAGTCAACGTATCATATATGTGCCATACAAAGAGAAAATGATTTCTTCAAAAGCCAATAGGGAGCGTAGAGCCTTACTTTAATCAGCAGGACTGTTTCTATCCCCCTCACATCAATCAAACAATTGGCAACCACTGGATCGTCTATTTCCAATGCTGTGAGAACTGATGGGAATTCTGGATGATAAACTCCTCTGAAGAAAAGAAGAAAAAACATCACTCAAAGCTCACACAAGAGTCTTTAAAACAAAAAATACAAATAGTTCTTTTTAACAAATAATAATTTGAACCTTCAAGGCTAAGCAATAAAATCCAAAACATAACTCACCTGTGTCTAACATCATAGACTTTATTCTGAAATTTATTTACAATTATTTGAGGTCTAAATCCATGTGGGTAATATTTTGACATCAGTAGCTGAAGAGCTCTTTCATCACTGTGATTATCACAGCAAAATGCCTGAACCAGGCTCTTTAAACAAGACTCAACAGCCAAGGTCAGTTCAGCATCTTTTGGATGAATGAAAGCACCTAGATAAACACGAGAGACAAGGCTTTAGGAGCTGTGTTCCATAACAAAACATCCAGTAGTGCATTGTTACCACTCAAGGTTTTTGTTTTGTTGTGTTATGCGTTTTTTTGAGTCTAAAATAAACATTTCTTACAAGAATAATAAAAAATAATCAAGAAGTTAATGAAAAGATAAAAAACTCCACAACAGAGAAGCTACTCTGAGAACACAGATAGATAATTTCTCTTCGTATAGAGACACCTATGCATACTCAGAGGCCTACATTTTCTTCCTAGATCTCTGACAGGCCGCTACTAACTTCCGTTAAGGTACCAATTTTACGACAGGTCAGTAGGATTGTAACAACGCAAAGATCGCTTATCAACAATTTAATGTTTTAAGGGTAAAGGCAGAGGAACAACTATGCTGCAAGTTAAACAAACATGGAGTTTTCCATTATATAGCCTGTCTTCAGTAGTACGTGTGTTTGCACATTCTTACCCTGCAGTAAATGTCAAGTACTTAAGTACTTCACCTTTACAGTTACATCCAGAATATGCTGAAGCCATTACTCCCATTCACAAACTGAAAATAGCATTCACTGTCACAGCTGGTCAGAAACCGAATGAAACCAAACTTTCCAGGAAAAACTCAATTGATTCTGTCTGAGTTGCTCCGTGCAAAACATCCGAAGTTTGACAAGCCCACAAGTCAGCCACTGGACATTTTAAACAAAATCTGTCCAAGAGCTGGACAGTGCTACCCACCAAGGAACCAGCAGCCAAAGCACAGTAGTCTGATGCTTAGAAGGGTGTGGGGGAGTCAGAGGGGTGCACTGAAAGCTTACCGTTGTAAACTTACATAAAATACCTTAACAAGAACAGATGGAAAATTAGGAAAACCACTACGTGTTAGCTAGTTCATGTGATAAAAAGGACAGAAGCAAAAGATAAACTACCAGGATAAAACCTTTAGTCCAGGAAGTACAGGTGAAATATGTATCTGAAGCTCCTCAAAGAACAAATAGTTCTTCTAAAAGATCACTGTTTTTATTAGCAGCCATGCAATAAATCCCACAAGGAAATATTCTAAAGACTGACATTTTTAGCAGTCATTCTTACCTAAAGGTCCGACAGGTTTGCATTTGAAGTGCCCTTGCCTATAGGCTCTTTCTACTGCTTCCAGAAATGCTGGTACATGTGGTCCAAATCTTTTCAAGGTGTTTGTTTTACTATCTTTCAGCTCTCTCAACTGTTTCTGCTTGGCATCCAGTGCTTGTTTCACATCACAGTCTTCTCTCCTAAAAGAACAGAATTTTTTTCAGTAGCAACAGCTTATGAAGTCTTAATTTGATTAAAATGAAGTCTCATTTTTCACATTCTAATTAATAGGACAGTGTATCAAGACCTCAATACTTCAATGTACTACAGCGTAGCTACACGCATGCAACAGTATAGTTTCAAGAACAAAAAAGCAAGAAAGAAAATTACTACTTTTCAACAGTTTTGCAAGACTTTTTCATTTCTAACAATTTACAACAAATTTATTTCATTTCTAATTACATACTTCAATTTCACTGTTTTCTACAAAGGTCTTCAACAGAACACAAAGTAACTGTTGGTTATAATAATTGATAAAGGACATTTAAATTAATACATCGAGTTCAATAAGCAACAATTCTCAGATCTCTTAAGGCAACAAATGACAGCATTGCCATAATCACCTCCAGTAATCATTGTTCAAGTTCAGCTTTCCAAATCAAAACCAGAGTGTTTTGTTTTTCTAGTTTGGATATGGGCTAAATTGGTATTTGAACCACTTGCTGCATAGTCTCTAGAAATTTGCCTTTAACTATAGATACAATAATTACCTCAAGTGTATTTATTTCCTTTTATCATGTTACATATCTTGTGACGTCACATCAAGATGTACTAGTATGTTAAACAACATGAAAAAATTTAAATCATAGTCTGCCCATAGGATGGTAAGAAAATAAGGGACAGATGGTAGGAACAAAGAAGGGCATTAAACTGACAGTATGGATTTATACCAGGTTTTCAAATTAGTAATACCTTTCACTTTTAATGATAAAACAGTTTTCTTAATTTTACAAATGTTTCTACATTAAGTCACATCGTGCCAAAGACAAAAGTTTAGCAAGTCCTAAGATAAACTAAGGCAAAAACCCCCTAGAAACTGAAGTCTAATACCTCAGGGAATGCAGGTACACAAGAAAGGACCACTTACAACTTGAAACAAAGGAAAACAGTTATATTCAAAAGCATAACTTACCTAAGTCTAGCATGTTCTTCCTTACACTTATATATAGCCTGCTGAAACTGATCCACCTGTTGACCAATCATTATTTCTTCATCATGGAATGCCTTTAACTGTTCCCTCAAGTGTGTGATTTTCCTTTGTCTTTCCAGTTTTTCAGGCTCTGAAACCTGATTAGCACTAGAAAAGATCATACTTCAGTATTTTAAAACCACACAGACGATTTATAAGTGATACCAACTTTGTTTTATTACCTGTATCATATGAAAGATTTATGCATCAGAAAGTTATATTTAAGATTCTGTGCATTTACAAAGCATAAATACCAACTTTTTTTTGTGGTTTGTAATCACACATAACTCTCCCCAGTTACGTTCTGATTACATTTGGTCTATTTGTTTTGAAAAACCAAGGAAGCTAGAAAAAGTGTATCACCACCAACCAAAAAGAAAGGCTTTTTTTCTGCCAAACTACCTCATCACCTTCTAGCCAAAATCTTGGTATGCAAAGAAGCAGGATCAAAAATATTTAAATATTTAATGGAACTCTGCTTAAATTTAAATAAATATTTTCTGTTACTGCGGATTTTCTCATTAATCAGAAGAGCTCACTCCCTGCACACCCATACCTTAATAAACATACACCATAATCACTGTATCTGTATTTACCTGCTTTTCAGTTCTTCAATTCGTTTACGTAGCTGTTCGTCGTCTTTTCCCAGACGTTTTAACTCAGTTTTGAGACGATTACAAAGTGCCTATGAAGGAAATAGGACACAGTAGTGTAATGAATAGAAGCAAGAAATAATTTCAAAAAGAACTAAAATTGAGTAAATAAGCACTGAACTGCATCAAAACAGACAAACGTAACTTGAACTTCAAGAATGTGAAAAAGAAGGAATAACACAGTTACCTTGAATCATATTTATTTTGACCTAAGCTTAACACTGTTTAACACCTGTGTAAAGATAAACCCTATGGTCCCCAAAGAGAAACTAGTTGCATGTCAGGCAGGAAATTGCACGTATTTTGAACTGTACTATGGATTCAGGGAGCCCAGACACGGACGGAGGAGCACATATGGGTAGAGCATGGACAAGATTAAAGCTTTAAATCGGTATGAACTTTGAAAGCTCTTTTTGCCTACCTCAGCTTCATTGAGTGCTTTTCTTCTTGCCTGCACATCAGCCTTCAAAGAAATACACTGAGGATGCAGGGCTTGTGCTTCTTCACTTATTGTTACTAACTTGTCTTGTATTGCTTTGTACTTTTCTTCTGCTTCGTTGACTTTTACCTTTGGTGCAAAAAGAGAATGATACACAAGCTGTAACGAAGCAAAATTGTCTTCAAATCCTCTTAATTCTATAGAAGAAATATTTCTCAAAAGAATCCATGCAACATGTCTCATTTGCTTTATTTTTGGAGTTAACAGCAACACAGACATGTTCAGACATGAAGTAAAAATGCCTCAAATGTAATACAAATACATACTTTTTTTTTAGCATTAAAAAGAAAACAATGAAAAATGAGTGCCAATTCAGAAAAGTTTGGAGAAAGAGTTTTAATAGACTGAAAAGTTCAAAATAATGATGCCTAGTGTTTCTCTACAAAAGATATATTCTGTATGTGAATCTGAATGTTTGGCAAAATTATTCTTTCTTACTACCCACAGAAGTCTTAAGTACCATCCAAAAAGTCTTTAAATTTCCAGATGTCTCCTGAAATCAGACATTGATCTTTTCTACAGGCAATGATACCCAACGAAACCTACATGACAGATATCTGGAAGATGCCTGAATGTTACAGAAATAGGCACCAAGTAAATACTCTCAACGATAAAACATTTTAAATTACTGTTCACCAGTATATGCAATGCTAGTCATATCAAATTCCCGGTCAAAATAATATAAACCTTACCTGAAACAAAAGTATCAGCATGAAAACCACACACACATACCCCTACTAAACAACAGAAAACAAAATGTCCTAATATTATTATCCAATGAAATGTTGAATGTGAATGTTACTGTTAAAAAGATGGATAAAAGGGAATGTTCTTATCTGCTTGTGAAAATCTAAGATGGACAGTTTCAATAGCTTACAAAGCTAAAGGACAATCATAGTTTAAACATTTTTATTCTTGAGTCAAGGAGCCAAAACTAGAGTGACATAGGGTTCAAACCATGTATGTACCTGGCATTCTTCTAGCTTCTGAACATACTTCTCTGTATTTCCTTCTTCAGCTCTGATGCCTTCTTTGATTGGTTGTATTTCTTTTTCCATCTCACCCACCTAAATAGAAGCATATATTAGCATGTATCAGAATGCCTGCAGCAGATGGGAAATAATTTAAAATACATTTCCTATGAAGAAACTTATTTGAACAAGACATTTACCACTGCCCACGCCATTTTATGTTTCAAATCTTCAAGATGATTTCGCATGTCATTCACAAACCCAATGCTTTTGTAACGTTCCTTTCTTTCACAATAAAACCGCTTAAGTTCTTGAAGACGCTTAGAAAAAAAAAAAACAAAGATTCAATCGTGAGTGCAAAAAGCTCTGATATAATATGAAATCTTGGAAAGATTTTTTTTTTTAAAATGTAACATCACTGAGAGCTAATAAAATCAAAACTATGTAGTTTAACTCCTATGGTTACGTTAGTGCTCAGATCTGTACTAATAATTACTTTAACTTTTACATACCTCTACTCCTTGTTCTATCTGAATACATGTATTTTGCTTAGTTTTCATAATAGATGAATAATCTTCTTTCATTTGTTCCAGCTGAGTTGCCTTCATGAAGAACTAAAATGGAATAAAAAGATGCAGATGTTAGATTCAGCAGCTTACTTAAGTGAACTTTAAATAATTACCATAGAAAGACCACTCAACCCAATCTCTATTCATGCTCATCAACACCCAAAGTAAAATACCTGGCGGTGTATTCTTGAATGATGAACTAACTCAGCAGTGTCCTAAAACTTTTTTTAAACTTATCAGTGTCTTTAGAGAAAAGAAACTTCAAAAAAATTGTTTTTGCAAGTGAATGACTGTTACAATCACATAGTGTACTGGGTCTGGCTGGGATGGAGTTAAGTTTCTTCATAGCAACTATTATGGTGCTGCGTTTTAGACATGTGACCAAAACAATGCTGAGAGCATACTAATGTTTTAGCTGTCACTGAACAGTGTACAGCATCGAGGCCTCCTCCATTTCTCACTCTGCCTTCCCGGTGAACAGACTAGCAGGGTGTGCAAGAAGTTGGGAGGTAATACCAAGTCCCACACCGCTGCTCACTCACTCCCCCTCTGCAGTGGGATGGGGAAAAGAATCAGAGAGTACAAGTGAGAAAACTCGTGGGTTGAGATAGACACACTTTAATAGGTAAAGCAAAAGCCACACACGCAAGCAAAGCAAGCCAAGGAATTCATTCCTCACTTCCCATGGGCAGGCAGGTGTTCAGCCATCTCCAGGAAAGCAGGGCTCCATCACACATAATGGTTATTTGGGAAGACAAATGCCATCACTCCGAATGTCTCCCCCTTCCTCCACCTTCCCCCAACTTCTATTGCTGAGCATGGCATCATAGGGTCTGAAATACCCCTTTGGTCAGCTGGGGTCAGCTGTCCTGGCTGCATTCCCTCCCAACTTCTTGTGCACCCCCAGCCTCCTCACTGGTGGGGTGAGAAGCAGAAAAGGCCTTGACTCTGTGTAAGCCCTGCTCAGCAATGATGAAAACACCCCTGGGTTATCAACACTGTTTCCAGCACAAATCTAAAACATAGCCCCATACCAGCTACCTATGAAGAAAAACTGTCCCAGCCAAAACCAGCATATTCCTGCTCAGTAATAAAAAGGGAGAAGAGAGGGTTAGGGGTGCTGGCATCTTTTGCTCAGGAACTGGCTGGGCATTGGTCTACCCATGGGAGGTGGTGAGCAATTCCCTTTGCATCTCTTGTTTTGCTTTCTTTCTCTCTTCAAGCTCTTCCTTCACTTTTTAAACAACTTTTATCTCAACCCACAAATTTTCTTGCTTTTACTCTTCCTTTCCTTTTCCCCCATCCCAAGTTGGGGGGGAAGCAGGGAAGGGAAGCAAGCGAGCAGCTATGTGGTACACAGCTGCTTATCTGAGTTAACCTACAACAAGTCTTTAAAATTGAGAATTCTTTTTTTTTTTTTCTCCAAATGCCAACTTTAAGAATTTGAAATCAGTATTATAATGTTTAATCAAAACGTTAAATGATTTTTCTTACCTTGTACTTGTCACCTTCATTTTTAGACTGTAAAAAGTGCTTACTCATTTCCTGGGTTAAAACCGAGACAGGATTATCTACCTGAAAAAATAAATTAATTTCTTTTTATTTTAAGTTAGTTTTAAGTCCTCATGTAACTGCATATCCATGAAAGTGAGCAAACCATCTCCCTGTCCCAGGCCCAGCAATTCAGTAATAATCAGACAGAAGCAGATCCAGAAATAAAGATTTCTACTCCTCTCACCCTTTTTTAAAAAAAACCAAACCAAACCAAAACAAACAAAAACTCAACAACAAAAACCCAAGAAGTCTAAAAAAAAAAAATCCAACTCCATCAAATACAAACTAGAAGCACAACAAGAACAACTAAGGAACTATTTCCGAAGGATAACTGACTTCTGGAAAGACAGTGCCTTTTTTTCCCCCATGTATTTAACAAGATCAGCATTAGGAATTTTGTCCAATGCTTTTTAATTTCTCATTATTTCATTGATCAAAGTATTGGATTAAGTGCAATGAATTGCTCCATATATTCTTACAGAAGTTTCCACAAAATAAAATCAATACATAGTAATAGGAGTTTATATTATTTGAAAGGCTGAATATGTTGAATATTTTAAACTTCATATGCACTACCTGATCTTTCCTCAATCACTTAAGCAGCAAACACACACTCAAATTTGTGCAACAGCAAAAACTGAAATAATGAGCAGGAAAAAAAAAAAAAGAAAAAAAAAGCTCCAGACTTCCATTAACAGCATATATGACTCATGCCTCAGAGATGATAGCAAATACTTACCTGTCTGGGACGGAATCTTATTCTGCACTGTAGAAGGTATAAATTTTAATTTTCTTTTGCCATTGCATTTGATCTTGAAAGAACATGGAAGAGGTGAACCTCCCTCATTTATCAAAATGGAACATTCCTTTTTAATTGAAGAATTATAACATCACATGCTGATGTCTTAAATTCCACAGAATTTAAATACTATAACAATTACCTGTATATTAAAGTGATCCAGTATTCCTATGAGTTCCTCTTTCTTTGAAGAAATTAAGGTCCCTAATGGTAAAAGAGGACAGGAAAAATACTAACAGATCCAAAGTAGCGACACATACAATGCCCTAGCCTTTTGTTTGATCTAGTAGTTCTTGGTAAATGTAAAAAAAATGAGATTAGCGTTTTTGTATCACAGATTTAGTCTTAAATGAGAAACACTGTTTTATTAGGTTTTTTTAATCTTTCTGATATATTTGCATTTGCACAGAATGACTTCTAACTGAAGTCCCTCATTGTGTCATAAACCCTCTGTGAAAGAATTTAGGAAAATCAACAAAAATACTAAAAACTACATTCATAACAAGCAGATTTTCACTAAGACAAATACTGTATGACCTCACATCACACAGAACCTGACACAACTGGTTTTGACATGCTAAAATATTCTCATTATAAGGTAAACACAAAAAATGGACATCATCCTTGAATGATGAATGAAATTAGAAACCTCATCCTTTGCTAACATGAAGGCATTTAAAGCAATGAAACCATTTAAAGAGCTTCTAAGACTTAGAACAAAGCAAACTACCACCAACCAGATTTGCTTTTCAGTTTGTAACTTCTGCTTCCATCCAGATTAATGTGCTGATTCACAATAATGGAGCTACCATACACTTCTGGTTTAAATGCATCTCTACCTTGGTTTCGCAGTGTTATGGAAATATCTGCAGAGCTAAAAAAAAAAAAACACACACAAAAAAAAAAAAAGACAACTAAAATTAGTCCAAAACCTGAAAAAAATAAAACAGAAAAAAAATCAGAACATTCTAATTCTCCACAAAAGTCATGTCTTGTACAGGTCACAACTGGAAGTCAGTCATAGTACCAATTGGAACAAGATGTATTTTTCTTGTTTGAGCCAAAACAGTATCAGAGACACATGGCCAGAAAGGCTGCCATACAGTGACCTGTTTGCACTTTCTGTGCTTCAGATAAATCATGAGCCAAAAGCAAATAGTTGTGAGAGCAGATCTGCCCCACCTTCCCTTCCCACCTGAGTGTCCACACCTTTAGGTTGTTCTCCTGTCCCCAAACGGGCTTCTGTAGAAAAGAGTTGCTTAGCTTCCTACAGCCATCCCTAACCAAAGTAATCTATAGCAAAACGCTTAAGGCGTTCTTCTAGAAAAGATGAGATGTGGTTTCAGTTCCGAATTCAGTTTTTCTGCTTCTCAAGTGAATGCTGAAACATTAACATCTTATACATAACGCAGGTACCACCAACAATTTTACTCCAAGCACCTCTGAAAGGAAAAGCCTGGGGGTCCAAGTTACAGCTTTATGTAAATGTAAACTTTTAAACCTCTTCTCCTATTTTTTATTGATTCCCCTAAACATGTTATCCCCACTCTTGCTGCAGACATGAATCCACTTCCTGCAGGATTAATAATCCACCTGTATGTCAAGGTCTTTATATTGTATATTCATACAGAAAGGCAGAAAAAGAATTAACCTCACTGTCTGCAAAACAATGATAACTAGTTTCCTACAATTTTTTTTCTAATGAACTCAATTCTTCTGTAGGATATTAAAGTACATCAAGGAAGTAATACACAAGGACTGGGCAACACTCAGGACATATCACTATATTAGCTAGTTCAGAGATAATGGTATACTACTGGTATATTACTGGTAAAGTTTCTAATGTGGTTTTTGTTTGTAGTTTAGGGCTTTTTTTGTTTAAATATGGTCTCTTTAGTGTTATGCTTTTTATTCAAAACTTGTAGACCCAGTAAGAGAACAGAGAAAACAAAAGCGAACAGAAAACTGATCAGCTAACCTGAACAGCAATCGCTAAAGAACACATTCAACCTGAAAACTAGAAACAGTTTTACTTACGTCTCTCCATCTCGTACAAACATTTTTAATGAGGAACCTCTGTTAGTTGCAGTGGCTTTTCCTCCAAGTCCAACAATCAGAGCAGTTAATATAGAACTTTTTCCACCTGTAATACAAGTATTGAACATATGATTCTTGTAACTCTTTATCCAGTTCACCCGTATTACAGATTTTTGTTTGCGTATGTATTCATGCACTTAAAAGTCCAAATCCTGTCTTTATTGACCAAGCTTATAAAATAGCAATAACTCTAGAAAAACGTTTGCCACTTCCAAGGTTCTTCCTAAAAAAAACCAAAACCAAACATGCTGAGCTAAACTTCTGTTACTTCTATTTAGTAATTTGCATTCAACAAGATCAGGTCCTATCTCAGGAGCAAAGAATCTCTCCTTCCTTGCAAGCATAGAGAAAAAACGTATACAACAAAAGAAATCAAACCACACGTTACCTTTTATATAACTATCGGAAAGGTTTTAAGCTCTCTTTCAAAATTTGTGATTAATTTTTGAAATTCTCTCTCCAAAAGAAGTGAACTTGCATAAATAACTGTAATTACTTTCTCCTATAATAGTTTCTATATGACATATACTTGGACAATGACTGTGCATTTAATAACAAACACACAATTATATTTAGTTTGAACACAAATTTATGTACGATTTAGCTATGAAAAGATTTATATTCACATTATCTTTTGCAAATCTCCAAATTCAAGACCTAATTTTTTCACCAGCCTTGAACTACTGGGATAGACCTGTGTGGTTCCTAAGTCCAAAAGTGAATCCATCATTCTATGATTCTACGATCTCCATTCCTAAAAGATGGTTAGCAATTCTTTTTCAAATAAAAATTACATCTTCTAAACTACTAACAAAAGTGTTCTTTGACAAAGAAGTTATGCAATTAATACTTACTTCCATTGTTTCCAACAACAAAATTGAGATTCGATCCGAACTGAAAAGGCCCCAGCATTGAATGGCACATGAAATTCTTCAGCTGGATACTTTCAATTATCCCAACTTCCCCTACAGTCTAAAGGATTAACAATTAAAACTGGTGTTATGTATGCATTTTAAGGAGATACAGTTCATCTATTTTAAATATAATAAGAATTCAAATGACAGTATGATGTAAAACATCAATGGGTACAAACTAAAAGGAAATCAGAAGGGTTTCATGACACGATGAAAAGCTGCTTGCTACGGAGCAGTTACGTAATGAAATAAGAGGAAAACAGTTACCAAAGCTGATTACTCACACGTAGCAACTTGCAGTTCTCCCCGTAACTAACTTATAATTAATACAATATAAAACATTAAGATCATCAATTCTATACAGCTGTCAGAGCAATAATTAAGAGCATCATAGAAAGCCTTTTTGTTACTTGAGTAATATTATTTGTGAGAATTCTCAGCACAGCTCAGAAGGAGGGAAATTAAGCTAGATCAGGAAGGAGGAAGTGAAACTAGAAATGGGACAGCCCACTGCTCAACTGGTGAAGTATTGTTTTGAAAGGAAACTTTAGTTTCATCGCCAGTGCTTCAGAAAAGCAATGTTTTCTAAGAAAGCAAAGTCCTCGGAAAAAAATAAACAAGCCAATGACATAGATCAGCTGCTGTTCAAGAAAAGAAGTGAGGAATAATGCTTCTGCAAACCAAAAATCAACCACGGTGTCTTATAATACACAAGACAGTATTTGCAATCTCAGAAATGATTTTTAAAAAATCCTCCATCAAATTAGAATTCAACTGTTACAGAAAAGCAGAAAAGATGGTATTCCTGTTTTCAAGTTTCATTTCCATCAAAATATGCATTTAAAATACTATATTTATTTAGTTGTTTGAAAGCAGCTGTGCAAAACAAACAAGTATATGGTTATTCCTTTAGTAAATAATTCGTTTTCTAAATGTTTTCTCTGCTTTCACTACAACCATAAACCAAATATACCATATTTTATCAAACAAAATCCATTTCCTTTATTTGGTTATTTGACAACTTCAGTAGTATTCATTCTATAAAACCAGAATACTGTTATTTTATCATCAACTGTCATAACTACATGACCCAAAAGACATAAGGTAAGAATGAACCCATGCAGAAATCCTCATCACAGACATCACCTCTAGTTTCTTTTATATTGGTTCCATGGGACCCCACACACAAGACATTTATTTCAATGCCAACCAAAAGCACAGAACTTTTTTATATCAACTTTTCCTTACATCTCGCCTGCCTCCCCCCCAACTTTTTAAACAACTTACCGACAGTAAAGAGAAATTACTATCAGGTGATGACTGTGAATCTTCTTCATTAGACTCATCACTATGCTCATCTGTGCATTCTTGTCTCTGTCTTTTGTGGGATCCAGGCTTTGAAATACTTTCTTCCTTTCTCTTACCCATGAGTACTGAAAAACAAAAGTAATGAAAGGCTGTAGGTTTCAGTCTTCTAGATGAAAACATACCTACAGATGATAGCACAGACTTACCAATTTACTTACTTTTGTAAAAGAAATATTAAGATCATAGAAAGCATTGCAACAAACAAATACTTTTTCCGGAACTGAAAACTCAGTGAATTTAAGCCTAAGCTTCTTACGAAGAAGTTGTATTGGAACAAAAGAAACACAACTTCATTATTCTAATCGAGCTGAATTTTTTTGTTGATTAACAACAAAATCAACCCTGATTCTGTTTTCCTTGGTACATTAGGCTTTGGGATATTTGCTAGAATTGTTTTTCGTTAGTAATGGAGTTGAATCATAGGATCATAGAATGTTTTGCGTTGGAAGGGACCCTTAGAGGTCATCCAGTCCAACCCCCTGTGCAGGGAGCAGGGACACCGCTAACCAGATCAGGTTGCTCAGAGCCCCGTCCAACCTGGCCTTGAATGCTTCCAGGGATGGGGTCTCCACTCCCTCTCTGGGCAACCCCTGCCAGGGTTTCACCACCCTCATTGTAAAGAATTTCTTCCTTATATCCAGTCTAAACCTACCCTGCTTCAGTTTAAAACCATTACCCCTTGTCCTATCACAGCTGACCCCACTAAAAAGATTTTTCCCATCTTTCCTATAGGCCCCCTTTAGGTACTAAAAGGCCGTAATCAGGTCTCCCTGCAGCCTTCTCTTCTCCAGGCTGAACAAGCCCAACTCTCTCAGCTGGTCCTCATAGGAGAGGTGCTCCAGCCCTCGGATCATTTTTGTAGCCCTCCTCTGGACCCGCTCCAACACTTCCATGTCCTTCTTGTGCTGAGGGCTCCAGAGCTGGACGCAGTACTCTAGGTGAGGTCTCACCAGAGCAGAGTAGAGGCGCAGAATCACCTCCCTCAACCTGCTGGCCATGCTTCTTTTGATGTGGCCCAGGGTATGGTTGGCTTTCTGTGCTGCCAGCACACATTGCTGGCTCATGTCCAGCTTTTCGTCCATCAGAACATTAAGTTGTAAAAAGTACATAACTATCATAGCATCAATAGCAGCCTCAGTGCTGGTTTGATTAAAGTGAGCTATGCAGCCAAAAAGAAAATGTATTAATTATATGTCGTTGACAACTGCCTAGAAAATTAATACGCAGAACACAAACAAGTAGAATAAAGAAAAATTCAGATTCATAGCACTGTTCCTGTGCTGTTTCTTGCACGTAGCCACCCTGCTTTTGTGAGGCAGTATAACATGATCACAGTAAACAAAATGCTGGTATTTTACTAATGAAGAATGACAATTCTCTAATATAGAAACCATATATACATATTTCCTCTACAAATGCATAAATAACACACAGACTTCCTGCACTAATTACTGGTTGGAAATGAATGTTGCAAAAGTAACGAGGTCTACTAAAGTCACAAAAAAGCTGAAACAACAGGCATCAAGATTAGTCAAAATCTCACATTTTCTGTAACTGTACCCTTAACGGCATGTTTTTTATTCCCCCAATAGTATATACTACATTCTTCATACCTGGACACCCAGACTACACAAAACATGGAAGTTCACATACTATTGCCCAAAGCAGAACCAAGGTCCAGTTTGTACAAAGGCAATTCACAATATTTTTATTTGCCAGTAGTTCAATCACCTACTGGCAAGTGTCAGTTTTACCCTGTTTTGGACATCAGCTGTATAATTTTCAAAAAGTTTCTGAAATGAAAGATGTTCTCCTACTCAGATAATTTTGTTTACTAGAGCTCCCTTCTAGGGAAGATGGCAAGCAACTTAGATGTATCTCACCAGTTTGAGCAAAATTCAGAGGCATTAAATGTATTAATATCCAGTGCTATAGAAAGATCATTGCATGACACATAGCCTAAGAGTAGTCTGAGTTTATTTATAAGAATAAATAATTTTTTTTTTTGGGGGGGGGAGGAAGAAATATGTAGAAAAGGAAAGAATGACCAGCATTACAGACATTGCATGTCCAAAGTTGACACCATGTGTCGTGGTTTGAGACCAAATTGACTCTGTGGAGACTAAACACACCAAGGGCTTGGATACCAGAACACTTCTGGTCACAGATACACAGTTAATGATAACGAGTGACTGATTCCTTGTCCCACAGGACAGACGGGACAATCGAGGGGAGAAGGCAGCCAGGCCAGCCTAAAAGTTCCTAACATCAGCTCCTGTGTCCTGCAGGGGACACGACAGGGTCCATGAGAAAGCTGGGTGGACCAGCACAGCTGTTCCAGTTGTGTAATGCACAGTCTCAGGGCCCCATGGGGGGAGGGGGGGCCTCCCAGAGCTTCTCTGTGGATCTTGATCCACGTTCTCTCTTTAAACGTTTTAAGATTAATACCTTGAAGAATCTACAGAGAACTCAATGAAATCGAAACTTAAATTACAGCTTTAGTCATAAGAAGGAACTCTGCAATGGACAGGAGCAGCCTTTCCTCCCTCTGCCTCTTCTGTTTCTGTCTCATCCCCCAGAGTTCAAGCACCTCTTTGCACAGCAGAATAATAAACCATCTCAAGGCACTGATTCTACTGAAAACTAATGGAGGAAAAAACCTTTTTTCTTTTTAAGTAAGTTCCCCAACCATCTCACCATGCAGGTGTGCATGTTTGGGTCATTGTGGAGAAAGACAGTGCTTCTTTCAGCAGCTTCTTTTACTTGTGTCAGCTTGATATTCTGATCAAACTATAGCCTGATTTCAGCTGACGGAAGGTCAGATAGCTCATACTGCCAAGCATCACAGACAATAGCATTTACTATACGAAACATCACAGGCATTAAAATTTATTACATCATTACAAAGAGTATTTAATTTCTATTCTAGATACCTGTTGACTGTTTTATAAAATACAGCACCTAATAACTCCCTCATAAATTTCCTTTGACCCAGCATCTAAATGATAAAGAAAAAAAATCTACATCTCTTTCCATTAAGTGCAATGAACAAAATTCAAGGAAAAGCAGAAATGCAATGAATTTCCCATCTGACACTCTTGCAATAATTTTGCATGGCAGGGATTTCAGATCAAATACTGGATTATTACTATTACTATGTCCGTTAGTATTTACAGGGAATATGTCATTTCCATTTTATGTTATGTAGTTTAATACCATACACATAGAAATCAAGGAGCAAATACATTTCACAATTCAGTTGCATACCTTTTGCTGTGCTACTTTTGGTTTCTTACATAAACATGTCTTTATGCTTAAATTACTCAGACCAGGAAAGTGTCTCTTGTCTGCTGTTGGAATTTATCCATCACCCAGATATGATGACAAGCATTCATTCAATCTGCTGTTTCATTGAAATCTCTCTCTGGAAAGCAGAAAAAACAAAAGATTTAAATGTTGCAATTATTCATGTCCAAAATAAAGATCGGGGCTATGAGTTCCATCGCTATAACATTTGGGCATTTAAGAAAAAGAGAGTATGAGAGTGGAAAACAGAACAAAATAACCTAGGAGAAAACTCATTTGTGTAATCTAAGTGTGACGAAGGCAAAGGACAGAATAGTCTGCACCCCGGAACTCTTGAAGAGCTAGTACTGCAAACAAAACTTAACTGGAACTGCAAGCAAACTTTACTGAAGTAGCCTCAGAAGTTATGACAAGTACCATGGCATGTAATACCTACACTGAGTACAAAAAAGACAGAAGGAAAGAGAAACTGGCTGCAGCAACAAGGAATCCACTAATATGAGTTCACAAGACACAAAGCTTTAAAAGCTAACAGAAGAAATAATCAAAGTTAAGAAAAATAAGAAACCCACAGAAAACACCACATACATTTGAATTTTATCTTTAGATCATCTTGACATTCTTGACAGAAAAAGTTCCTTTTTTTTTTTACATTAATTGCTCCCAAAACTCTTGTACCAAGACCCCCCTAATTTTCTTTGTTAAGTTTTTAATTGAAAAAATAGCTGCTTTCAGTCTTCGCACCACTTACCAAGACTTTAACAACAGTTTGGGAATAACTATCAAGGCAAATGAAAAACAGCCGATCTGACCTATTGTCCTGGTTTCGGCTGGGATAGAGCTAATTTTCTTCCTAGTAGCTGGCATAGTGCTGTGTTTTGAATTTAGTACCAGAAGAATGTTGATAACACCCTGATGTTTTCAGCTGTTGCCAAGTAGTGCTCAGACTACTCAAGGACTTTTTGAGCTTCTCCTGCTCAGCCAGGTGCATAACAAGCTGGGAGTACAGCACAGCTAGCACAGCTAACCCAAACTGACCAAAGGGCTATTCCATACCATATAACGTCATGCTCGGGGGGGAGTTAGTCAGTCGGTCGGTTGTGGGGAGACTGCTCGCTGCTCGGGGAGTGATCACAGCTCGGGGACTGCTCGCAGCTCGGGACGGGCTGGGCATCGGTCGGCGGGTGGTGAGCAATTGCATTGTGCATCATTCGTTTTGTATATTCTGTATATTCTGTTATCATTCTCATTATTACTATTATTATTATTATTTTCTCTTATTAAACTGTCTTTATCTCAGCCCTCAGCTCTAACCTTTTATTTTCTTCCCGATATTCTCTCCCCCATCCCACTGAGGGAGGGGGAGAGTGAGCGAGCGGCTGCGTGGTGCTTAGTTGCCAGCC